ATGTAGTTTATGTAGATCTAATCGATGATAACTTTATCATACTCAGTTAAGAAGCAGAAAAAAATACATGACACCATTGGTATCCAGAAGTGTAAACACGGGACTGGAATGACTTTGAACATATTAGTGAATCTAGGCAGATCAATGTCATTGAAATAAATTGGAAACAGATATCATCTGGTTTGGGCTCTGGGAGTGGAGATGGTGTCATTGCCACCACCTGATAGCAATTATTTTCTGGTGATATAATAAGCAATGGGTAAACTGCTTTCCTGTAATGGGAATCCAGAGCACCTTAGTTCATCAGAAAATTAATGTGAATTCTATGTTAATGATTACTTATTTAAAAACAAAAGAAAAAATTTTGAAAGACTATAGGATGAATAGATCTTTATTCTCACACATACAGCAGATTTCCAAATCAGAACCTGAAGTTGTACCCACCATTAGTTTTTCTCAGTTCCTCCACAAGGCACTGGGCTTCCTCTTGAACACGGTCCTCAGTGCTCTTTTTCCCCATTCCCAAGTTCTGCAGGGTCATGAGTGTGAAGCGTCTTGTATCTTTCCATCTCTTTCCATTGTTAAAAATTATGCCTAAACAAATAAGAACAGAAACTATAGGATAGTTCTCTGAGTAAGAGTGAACTGAAAAGTAGAAATCATACAGAGGGCAAACCTGTGCCCAGGTCATGAGTCTGTCCACTCTATTCCATTCTGCTACCTGTGAACACTTCAACACACATATACACACATGAACCTGTGCACTTACCAAGCCCTTATTAATTCTGTCAAGCCCTGGCAGCCTTCCTCTTCCAGAAAATTCCTCTCCATGATCAACCAGACCTTCTTTGATTGCTTCATAGCCATGAAACACTACAGTAGGTTGCATGCCCATATATAAAGTGAACACAGGGCCATAGACTTTTGAGAGCTGAAAATAGGAAATAAAATGTTAATACTAAGAAAAATATCACTCTACCCTCCATAAAGTGAACCTCATTTAGACTAATATTATCATTGCAATTCAATACTTTTATTCAAAAATATCCAGCTTTAAAGATTTATGAAGATTATGAATCAGTTAATAATGATCTTTACTTATGGATGGCATAAATATGCCATGCAGTGATCTAGGTAGTCTATGCATATTACAGTGAATCATTACATGAAAATATACAGTGCATTTGTTTACCATGTTTCACAAAGTAAGGAACTGAGATCAGAGAATTCTCAATTCTTTTCCATGTACCCATGGCTAATTATGTAGGATACAAATTGGTACTCTACCTATTCATTATTTTATATTTAAGTAGTTTATACTCACTTTCCATGTTCACACTATACTGAAATAGAAATCCTGGCCTAGGTGACTGATTTAAGACCCTTTGTAAAGGTTCTCCTATGAAGATTTGATAGCCTATGATGAACACTAGAAATGCAAAAGTGTTTTTTTTTTTTTTTTCGGAAACAGAGTCTCACTATTTAGCTGTGGCTTTCCTGGAAATCGTTAGGTAGTCCAGGATCACCCCAAACTCACAGAGATCCATTTGCCTCTGTTTCATAAATAATGCGATTAAAAGCAGCATGCACCACCCACACTCTGTTCAAGAAAACTTTAAGTCAACAGAAAGGATTCAGTCCAGTTTACTATCTATTGCTACTATAAACAGGAAGGATGGACATCAAAGAAGCTGCACCATAGCATGTGACATCTCCTTGAAAATATAGCTTCTTGCCCTAAAGCATAAAGTTTGTGTACTTTATCCAAATTAAAATGGATTTGAATATCACCAAATATACTGTGATTCACTGCTTCCTTCCCTCTTTCTTGTGTTATTCAATGTACATAGGTATTTTCTGGAAACCATCCATCAGTTATTTGTTCATAGGATCCATCATCAATATAATATAGATAAAATGCAAGTCTAAAGTGCTACCTGACCTTCAGCCAGAAAACATGGAAAAATGGCTATAAAAAGGGGGGGAGAAGGTGGGTGATACAAAGAACTATGGGAATAAAGGGGAAAACAATTCTCCAGATACACAGCAAAAAAATTCCTTAAGCACAGAAATAACCCTAATGCTCAGAAGTAACCTTATAGGGATGGAAGAAAACCCTTCCAGAAGCTGTACAGTTGTTAAATGAAAATATCAGTGTTAGAAGTGGATTACCCCCCATAAGCTGTTGGCACCTTAAAACAATAAACATGCCAATAATCTTGGTTTTATGTCAGAAGTGGACCAAAAACTATTGCTGAAGACACTGCATGATGTGAGCACGGAGGAGGGAGAAATCAAGCTTTGACTAAGCTCAAAACTCACTGACACTGGATGGGTGGCTTTCATGGTGCCAGAGGAGATACAGAGATGGCAGGGGGAGAATCGTTCTCTATAATAATGCTCAGCAATAGACCCTGCTTGTTGCACTATCAACATGCCAAACAAGATGTTCCTGCTGGTGCAATGGTGGTGTGTCTAGTGTATGAACAACCAGCAAATTTTCGTTTGGATATAATGCCTGCTCCTAAGGGTGGAACACATATTTTGTACTGCAGACCAGGCCAACTCTCCGTGGCAGGTGAGATTATAGATCCCAGTGAGAGGCCACTGCAACTCTTTTGTTAGGTGGATATGATGCACATGTTAAAATATTGTCCAAGGATTTGTGTTTACACCCATAGGTTAAGTTAATGTAGCTGCCACTGTTTATATGTTCTTACTTCTTGCTGTTTATGCTTTTATAGTAGATGGAATCCCACTGAAATGGACCAACAGCTCATGGAAAACAGGTGATGTAGAGACCCGCAAGTTCAGTGCCTTGCCACAATAAGAGGAAGATCATCCCATACCTACCATACCCTCCAAGGCTCTGGGACTTTTGCAGAAGAGATTGGCAGAAAGAATGTAAGAGTGGGAGGAAAGGGTGGAGTGTCAACTGGGAGGGTCCTCCAACCACTATCCCAGCAAGCTATAGTCGCCCCTCCTTTCCATACTCATCAAGGAGTTAAAGGGTCAGTCAGTTACCCCTCCCACCCAAGGGTCCTCCAACCACTATCCCAGCAAGCTATAGTCGCCCCTCCTTTCCATACTCATCAAGGAGTTAAAGGGTCAGTCAGTTACCCCTCCCACCCAAGCAGTGGACCTTAAGTGCACGTGCTGTAAGCACTAAGGATATGGATATATAAGCCAAGAATGCCATGAGGCACCTCTCTTGCCATTTTGTGTTCTGTCAGGAATTCCCAGGATCTATATTTGAATGTGGAATTACCAGTGCAGCCATAAATGGGGGACACCCACTATTCTGTAAATGAACTCCCACCCTATGCTCTGTTAGAAGGCCCAATAAACTAGTTAGCATTTTCAAGAAAAAAAAAAAACAGAACTAATGGAAACCTTCATTATCCCACTGAAGTTGATGTCATGTTGGCAAATTCATTGGTCTTTTTTTTTTTTTTTTTTGGTCTCTTTTGAGACAGGGTCTCCTTATATCCCTAACTGCCTGGAGCTCACTGTGTGGGCCAGGCTGACTTGAACTCAAAAAGATCAGCTGGGATCTGTCTCCCAAGTGTTGTGATTAAAGATCTGTGCCACCATGCCTGGCTTTGGTCTTTGATTTCTTATTCCTACTACTCTACCCTAAACTTTAGTATATAGTACATTTTTATGTAACCTGGTTCAAGTTATTTCTGGAAAAATGTGTTAAATATTGCCTCTCTTTGGAATAATTTCCTCTCTTTGGAATACTTAAAATATTCTAAAAAATGATGGGGAAAAGCATAAATTACGTTTATGCCCTTTCACTATTTTGCTATCATATACAAGGCTTCAAAGTTCATCTACCTCACAAAATACCTTGTTCAGCCCTCAATTTTGATAAAAGGACAAACTGGGACAGGCGGAAGGTACATAGAACTCACAGGAAATTTTGACTTTGTGACCATTCATCATAACACAGCTTAAGATGTTATATTTTCATTGAAAAAAAAAGGTTTTTCTCTCCCTTTGCCAAATATTGTAAGCACATAAAGCATATGTACCTTGTTTAAGGATTGTTGGATGTCCTTTATATCTATTTGGAAGAAATTGCCGACAATAGGGAGAGGAATAGGGCCAGGAGGGAGCTTGCCTCTCCCAGAGCTGTGTCTCCAGAGCGAGAGGAGAAGCAGGCAGGAGAGGCAGAAAAACCAGGACCACAATTAGATCCATCAGCGCCTTCTATTCTTACTGACAAGAATGTGATTGTGCAGTTCTAAGCTTTTATTAATGTTATCTGCTGAATCAACAAGTGCCTCTTTGAAGTGTAGTTGAGTAATCAACTAGACACTCTTTAATCTATCTTCCAAATGGATTCAGTCACAATGATAGAGATAAAAAGATGTTCTTTACCCTAGTCCTCTAAGGGTGTATTTTAGAGTTTCTTGCTTAATTATACTAATTTATGACCAATTATTGCTAATTAAACAAACACAATTGTTTTATTGTGCAGCTATCTTGAGAAATACTTAATGATTGAATTAAAGAACATTCTACAAAATTCTATATCTCAAATTATTGACCAAGTGGTTTCATATAGTGACCAGGCAACTTTTGGATATTTTTTATATTCCACAAATTGTGGTCCTTTTAAAAATTATTGGGATTTCTTACAGGGGTATAAGAATATAAAGTGTTTTGATGAAATTCATGCCCACTCCCTCCCCTCCAACTCCTCCCATATATCCCCATCATTTTTTAATGATAACTTCATTTCTCTTTATTCTTTTTTAATGGGGCATTTTGCTACTCTAACATTGACCATTCTGAAGAGGTAACCCTAAAATCTTTTAAGGATTAGGTAAGACCTCCCAAATACTTTCAAAATTTTTGACCTTTGGAACAGAGTAGGTTGATAAGAGGCCCAAGTACATTTTGACTTTTAGCCAAGAAGCTGGCTACTTTGCTTTGGGATCTTTTTACATTAACTGCCTAGTCAATTCCTACCTCCTATTCTTATCATACCATCCTCTGAAGCAGAAACACAGCTTGCAGATAGAGAATTGGGACACAGACTGCTCTGGCTTCTTCCATGCTGAACAGGGATGCAGGGTGAGGCAACTGGGTACCCCTTCAGTGGGTCTATCTAAAAGACTCCTAAATTGCCCAACTCTTTTGGGTAGGGGGAAAAGAAAGTCCTTAACTTGTGATAAGGAGATGTGAAGGAGAAGTAAAGGCAAGAGTTATTAGCATTACAAGTTCTACACAGGGAACCAGAAAAAAGTCAGGACAGGGCAAATTTCAAATGTTCATATGAGAGTCCACTGGAATTTCTTGACGAGAGCTTCCAAAAGCATCTCTCTATTGGATTCCTCCTCATTTTTCTTTTGTCTGCCAAGGCTGGACTTGAGAGTGATGGATTCAAGATTTGCTTTTAGGCATTTTGAAAGCTGTTGGAGTGGTTCAAATCAGTGTCAGTTCCCATGCAAAGGCTTTTAGATAAGGCTAGAAAACAAATTTGGCCATCATTTTAGAACAATAGCGGGTTGTTTCCCTTAGCTACAGGTGGGCACTACAGAATTGCAGACCAACATATGAAGTCTTACATCTGAGGATCACTTTCTGATTAGAACAAAATCATCAATGAGAGATAATTATCTAAATAACTGTTGATATGCACTTAAGCCTAATGCCTGAGAAGTTTAATCCCTTGAACTCTTAAAGAAATATACTGATCACTTTCCTTTTTGGTCAGTGTCTTCTAATTGGCTAGATCCTCCAATGGGCAAGGCCTGCTGATTTTTGGGGAGAGTGGACTATGAAGGATCTGCTGGAGCCATCTTGGGATTGAAGCCGTGAGCCGTGGGTAGTGTGCATAATATGGGGAATGGGCAGCCAGCCATGCAGCAGCTGAAGGACAGAATGGACTGACTCTTACGGACCTGGGGTGAGATTGCTCATCCTGGAGGCATGAGCTGTGACTGTGGGTGTGGCACGGTCTGATATGGTGGGCGCTGAGCCACAGTGCAGGGCTAGGCACTGGGTACTCCTTCCCTTGTAAGTTAATAAATGCACTTAAAGATATATTATATGGTTCGCTTGATAGCACAGGAGACCCAGAGGGAATTCGGGCAACAGTTATACTTTCCTTTTGGGTGTTTAAGACTATACAGTTGGCCCAAATAAATAATTTTATATTTACACTTAAGGTCATTTGAGCATCTGTTCCTCAGGGGTCACATGGGCTTGGGAGGAGCTCCGGGCTCCTTTCTCTTACTAGTTCTATCTATGTGAAGATAGGTCAATGGTCCTACTTGACCATTGCTGGCTTCACTTGGAAGCATGGAGGAAATGTTTCCTCTGAGTTGACCCTCCTCTTGTAGACTGGACACTGGTTCAAGTCCGTCTGGTGGGGTCTCCATGGCCTCCCTGAACAAGAGGAAAGATGACTAACTACAGTTACAGGACATTTTGAAAGATGTTCCACAGTCCCCTGGAACTTAGTCGACCTTGGAGGGCAAGGGGAAAAAAACTGTCCTTTAAGTACCTCAGGCCAGATTAGTAAGGACCTCAAAGTATGGCTGTTAAACATCCAATAAGGTTAGTTCCACCAGTCTGGTACTTTTAATTACCATGTGCTATTTAAATAAACCTTGGATGAAAAACCAAATGTTCTGAGATAATCCTTGACTAGATATATATTTTGTTCCTTGACTAAACTATGCCCTTAGGAATTTAAAAACTATGTGTATATTATTTTTGCCTCATCCTTTATGTATCATAACAAACCTACACAAACCTTCATCACTTGTTTAGGCTTTCTCATTTCTTCTATTTTGGAAAACATCTACATTCCCATGTCCTTTTAACATCTTTTATATTCTCATTTATGTTTTTAATAATTATGAGATATATAATCTTTAATTACAGTTTTCCTGGGGAACCAATGAATTTACTGAGCTTACTTACTGAGATAACTGAGGGGTTGCTGAGGTGTGTGAATCACCTGAGTGTATGAACACTGGAAAGCCTTTACCCAGCATGGGTCAAACCTGATCTTCCTAGCTTTCCCCAGGCTGTATATTTTAGCCCTCCCCAAATCCAGGAGACCATGTTTGATTAGGACCAAATTACATAAAGTTGGCTGGGAAGAGTGGCTGGATTCTGGTGAGGGTCCAATGACCTGGTTTGCCCCTCCTTTAATGAAGGAGCATAACTGACAACAAGCAAAATTGTGACGATATTTAGCAAAGAGACCAGGCTGAAGTCATGATTATAGTAGTTATTTCATGCAGAAGAGACTGCTGTACAGTATCATCTTATTAAAAGGACATGGAATTTAAAATGATTTGGGGCTAGGATCCACAAATGAGGGAAAACATACGTCTTTTATTTTTCTGAGGCTGTAGTATTTCACTTAGTTTAACAGTTTCTGGATCCATCCACTTACCTTCAAATTTCATTATTTCATCTTTCTTTACTGCTGAATAGAACTCCATTATATAAATATACCACATTTTTGATAACCATTCATCAGTTGAGGGGCACTTAGGACGCTTACATCTCCTAGCTATTGTAAAAAGAGCAGCAACAAACATGGTTGTACAGGTGTCTCTATAATAGGATGAGTCCTTTGGGTATATGCCAAAAGTTGTATAACTGGGTCATACGGTAGGTTCATTTTTACATTTTAGAGTTCTCCATGCTGTTTTCCATAGGGTTTGCATGAGTTTGCAATCCCACCAGCAGTGAATGAGTGTTGCCCTTTCTCCACGTACTCTCCAGCATTTGGTATCATTTGTTCTCTTGATCCTAGCCAGTCTGGTTGGGGTAAGGTGATATCTTAGGGTGGTTTTAATTTGCATTTCCATAATTACTAACGATGTTGAACACTTTTTGAGATTTTCTTAGCCATCTTTATTTCTTTCTTTGAGAACTCTCTGTTTACATCTTTAGCACATCTTTTGATTGGGTCATTTTGGTTTCTTGCTTCTTTGTTTTTTGAGTTTTTATATATTATGGATATTAAACCCCTGTCAGATGTGTTGCTGGCGAAGATTTTTTCCTGTTCTCTGCATTGTCGCTTCACTTTTTTGATTGTTTCTTTTTCTGTACAGAAGCTTTTGAGTTTAATGAGGTCCCACTTGTTGATTGCCGACCTTAATTCCTGAGCAACTTCTGTCCGACGTAGAAAATCCTTTCTTACACCTATATCATGTAAGTTGCTGCCAATATTTTCTTCTAGTAGTTTCCATGTCTCCTGTGTCACAGTGAGGTCCTAGATCCATTCGAAGTTGACCTTTGCACAAGGTGAAAGATAAGGATCTAATTTCATTCTGTAGGTGGATCTCCAGTTTTGCCAGTACCATTTGTTGAAGATGCTGTCTTTCCTGCATTGTGTGTTCTTGGCACCTTTGTCAAATATCAGGTGGATGAAATTGGGTGTACTTGGGTATGGAGCCTCAATGATGTTCCACTGATCTATGTGTCTATTTTTTTGCCAGTACCATGCTGTTTTTATGACTATAGTTCTGTAGTATATTTTGAGATCTGGTATAGTAATACCCCAGCACTGCTTTTTGTGCTCAGGGTTGTTTGGCTATCCAGGGTCTTTTACACTTCTATATGAACTTAAGGATGTTTTTTTCTAGTTCTGTGAATAATGCCATGGGAATTTTGACTGGGATTCCATTGAATCTATGTATTGCTTTTGGTAGGATGGTCATTTTCATAATATTAATTCTTCCAATCCATAAGCACTTGAGATCCTTCTAGCTGCTAGTGTCTTTCTCAATCTTTCTTTAATGATTTAAAGTTTTCATTATAGAAATCTTTGGTGTCTTTGGTCAGATTTACTCCAAGATATTTTATTTTATTTTTTGCAGCAATCGTGAGTGGGAGCATTTCCCTGTGTTCTTTCTGCAATTGGTTGTTATTGTTATGTAGAAAAGGGACTGATTTTTGAGACTGATTTTATAATCTGACACTTTACTGAAAGTATTAATCAGTTCTAGGAGTTTTCTGGTGGAACTTTTGAGATCTCTTAGGTATAGTATCATATCATCTTCAAAAAAGGATAGTTTGAGCTCTTCTTTTCCAATTAGTACTCTTTTAATTTCTTTCTCCTGTCTTATTGCTCTAGCAACTGTTTCAAGCACTACCTTGAAAAGGAGTGGAGATAGTGGACATCCCTGCCTGGTTCCTGATTTTGATGGCAATGCTTCCAGTTTTTCTCCATTTAGAATGGTGTTGTCTGTGGGTTTGTTGTATATAGCTGTAATTATGTTGAGGTATGTTCCCTCCAGTCCAATTCCCTCTAGGGCTTTGAACATAAATGCATCCTGAATTTTGTCAAAAGCCTTTTCTATATCTGTTGAGATGACAATGTGTTTTTTGTCTTTGAGTCCATTTATATGATTAATGACGTTTACTGACTTGTTTATATTGAACCATCCCTGCATCTCCAGAATAAAGCCTACTTCATCATGGTGAATGATCTTTTTGATGTGTGTCTGTATGTGGTTTGCATGTATTTTGTTGAGAATTTTTGCATCTATGTTCATTAAGAATATGGGTCTATAGTTTTCTTTTATGGTTGTGTCTTTACCTAGTTTGGGTATTCAAGTGATGCTGTCTTTATAGAAGGCGTTTGGGAGTTCTCTCTCTGTTTCTATTGCTTTGAATAATTTAAGTAGTATTGGTTGGAGTTCTTCTTTAAATGTCTTGTATATTCTGCTGTAAATCTATCTGAGCCTGGGCTTGTTTTAGTTGGTAGGCTTTATATTACTCTTTCAATTTCTTTATGTGTTAAGGTCTGTTTAAACTGTTGATCTCTTCTTTGGTGGTTTAACTTTGGTGGTTCCCATGATATTAGATATCCATCCATTTCTTTTATATTTTCAAATTTAGTTGAGTATAGGTTTTTAAAATATTCCCTTATAATGGTCTGGAGATTTGGGTGTCTGTTGTGATATTTCTCCTTTCATCTCTGATTTTGTTGATTTGGATTTGCTCTTTCTTTCTTTTGGTTAACTGGGCTAAGGGAATCTGCCTATCTTGTTTTGCTTTTCAAAGAACCAGTTCTTACGTTCATTGATTTTTTTGTATTGTTTTCTTTGTTTCTGTTTCACTAATTTATGCTTTGATTTTTGTTATTTCTTCCCTTCTGCTGGGTTTGGGTTGCATTTGTTCTTCCCTTTCCAGGATCTTGAGTTGCAGTGTTAGGTCATTTATTTGTGCTCTTTCTAATTTTTGAATTAGAGCTATAAAATTCTCTCTTAGATTGCATTTAAAGTGTCCCAGAGGTTGTGGTGTGTTGTATTGTCCTTTTTGTTGAATTCAAGGAATTCTTTTATTTCTTTCTTAATTTCTTCTTTGACCCACTTATTGTTTAGGATTGTGTTGTTTAGTCACCATGAGTTCATGTAGTGACTAGGGCTTTGTCCAGTGTTGATTTTGAGCTTTATTGCATTGTGGTCTGATACAATCCATGGAAGTATTTCCATTTTTTTTGTATTTGTTGACTTTTGTTTTGTGGTCAAGTATGTGGTCAGTTTTTGAGAATGTTTCATGGGTGCTGAGTAGAAAGTGTATTCTTTGGTGCTTGGGTGGAATGTTCAAAATATACCTGTAGGTCCATTTGATGTATGGTATCTTTTAATTAAGACTTCTCTCTGTTTCTTCTTTGTCCAGTTGACCTGTCTAATGGAGACAGTGGTGTATTGAAGTTCCTTACTATTACTGAGTTGGGGTTAATGTGTGTCTTAAAGTCCTGTAGTGTCATTTTTATGAATTTTGGTGTGCCAGAGTTTGGTGCATATATATTAGGGATTGCAATATCTTCTTGGTTAATTGTTTCTTTGATCAGAATGAAGTGACCCTTTTTATCCTTTCTGACTAGTTTTACTTTGAAGTCTATTTTGTAGCTATTAGAATTGCAACACCTGC